CCAAGCGCCACAGACATTGCCAGATAAGACCTTCTCTTTTTATCCATTGATTTTATCTGGACTTTTAGTATTATTTAAAGTTTTATCCAAGCGCAGCCCTTTCCTTGTATTTTTTTGAATTCATAGCTAGAGCCTCTCAGTCACTTGGCACTTAGAAGGGCCTCACCTTTCCCTCATTTAGCTTATTTTTCTCCATTCAACACTATGCAAGCTGCCAGTTGTTATACTATCGCCTATATGACTGTCACATTTACTCTAAATATAAATGTTGCAGAACTAGTAAGATTTTAATCCAGGCTCCCCAGCCAAACCCTCCACCCCACCTAGTCCATGCACTCCAGCCATAACCCAGGTTACCCAGCCCCAGTTCTTGGCGATCTTGTACCATTCCACTTTTATCTGTGAGCTCTGACATAAAGGCATGCCATTTCCTTCTTAGGCTCTTAAAACTTTGCTGTATAAACCTGGGTTTCTAGCTCTGGGCTCCCCTACCTTGTGTCAGCACCCAAGCTGGAAACAGAGACAGCATGACATGGATGTAAGCCATCCTTTCATCCTTGTGAACAATTGTTGACACTAGTGATGTTTAGAATTTCCTGACTTTAGACATCTTACCATCCCATGTAGTACCCTACATCATGCTCCTTACTTCTATCCCCTCAGTGTTACACCACCAGTTGCTATCCAGGACATGTTTCCTCAACTAATGTTATCTGTAGAGTAAGTTCCTCTGTACTTGGGATGGATATAGCAACTAGACTTGCCAGTAGTTCAAAGCTAGGAGAAACAGATGGTGTAATCTGACTGTTCCATATTCGTTCTCACCTTTTGTTACTAAGAGCCATCTCCCTCAATACTCACACTTCTCCTCTAGTTGTTTCTTTACAGGTGTCACAGTAGGCTTACACACAGGCGTCATTTTACTTCTAACAGGTATTGGGGTTTGTCCTAACCTCCAATTTATTAGTTAAGACTAATTCATCTGTATTACCATTAGTGGCAGAATAGAGTATTGGTTTATTTATTTTTTTATATTTATTAAGTGTTTTCTTAAATACATGACTAATAAAACATCACCATTCCATTTGAGAAGTTTGTTTAATACAAAATACAGATAACAAAAGAATACATTACAGTCTGAAAATCTTTCAATAGTGACATGGAAGAGAAAAAAATAAAAATATATCTATATAAATAAATGGAAAAAAAACTTTTCCCCTCTGCAAAAACCTAACATACAGGGATATAATTTCTTATTATTGGGGTAATAGCTGCTTGATCCAAGGAGACATCTGACTGCTATTTTGGGGTCAAGAAGGAATTTTTTCCTAGTTTGTTGCAAAATTGGAAGCGCTTCAGACTGGGTTTTTTGCCTACTTTTGGATCAACAGCAAAAACATATGTGAGGAAGGCTGAACTTTATGGACGCAAGTCTCTTTTCATCTATGTAACTATGTAAGTGTTGGAGCATTTAGAATCATTTTATATATAACATAATTTGGGTTATGGCAGTATTACTTGGTAAGACCTTCCATCCTATGCCTTCCCCATTTCCCTCTATATACAATTACAGAGTGTCTTTTAACAATAATTTTAACAAAACGTTACTTTTATTCGTTTCTCGATGTTCTTTTAACAACCCCCTTTTTTTGTGGGTATGCATATCATTTTAGCCTAATTAATGGGAATCCTAATAATATCTGCTCAATTTTATTATTGGCTCCTCGTTCTTCAAAGTTCCCAGCATTAGACCTTTGTATTTGGCTTATCTTAAGGGCCACAGAAGCAGCCTGACTAGGAAAATGCCATATTCCTCATCTTCAAGTTGCTCCCAGTGCATCGGTCCCAGTGGCATTTGCACAATATTTGGCAAACTGAGCATTCTACTTTGCCCACCCGTCTTACATTTGAAGCGAAGAGATGCCCAAACTATTAAATATAGTTGCATAATCTATCTGTAGGCTCCTCTTGTACATCAGTACTGTCCCTCTGTAATATATTATCTACATGAGTGTAACGATTATGGAAACCTCACCTGAGCTATGGAAACACGCTGCAGGTTATCTATCTAACTCTGAGACATAGAGAAACCCATTACACAACATAATATTAGATCAGAGGGCTCCGGCAGTTGGAGGGCACACACCAACGTTATTTATGTACATGTACAACAGCCAAGTTTCATATGCCACCAAGTATTTCTTGATTTTTTATTTTTTATTTTTTTTTGTTTCTTTTTATTTTCCTTTTCTTCTCCTGTTACCAATCATCAAACTAAAGTTGACAAATTGTAACTCGCAATATCAGAAAGCATTAAGGTAACTAATATATCATTTTAGGGGGCAATGGTGGAGACTGTTAGACCACCATCTGCCGTGTGGGTATGCGATAGGTTACTACACTCTGTATACAATGTGTATGTCAATCTTTGTTTGAGTTACGGAATGTGATCGATATATGCATGTTATCTCTGTCAACATAAATAAAGAATTAAAAAAATAAATAATGCCGTTCCCTAGACATTTCCTGATATGACTATGCCCCTCTTCTGTTGTTTCTACTACAAATAAATGTTTATGTACTTTTGTATGATATGCTATGCACAAAATAAAAAAACTTTTTTTTTTTTTTAAAAACTTGATGCTTCTATGATCAAATATTTGTAATTGCATGTTGTAATTTCTATTTTCCTATTTTTAGTTAAAGGAATACTATAGGGTCAGAAACACAAGCATGTATTCCTGACCCTATAGTGTTAAAAGCACCATCTGGGCCTCCCTTTCCCCCCCCTAAATATAGGAAAATCTAACCATTTATTCCAGTCTGCTGCTGCTGTCTCTACCCTGATCTGCCTGCTTGGCTGACCTCATCAGAAGTGTTTGATCAAATGCCAATCACAATTCTTTCCAATAGAAAAGCATTGGATTGGCTGAGCTTGTCAAGGAGGAAGATCGGGGCAGAGCCCCAGCACAAGCCACATGCAGCTCTGGCCAATAAGCATCTCCTCATAGAGATGCATTCAATCAATGCCTCTCTATGATGAAAGTTCAGTTTCACCATGCAGAGGGTGGAGACACTGAATGTCAATGATGCACAGTGTGCAGCACTGTTCTGGGAAGCACCTCTAGTAGTCATCTGAGGAGTGGTAACTAGATGTATCGCTAGGCTGCAATGTAAACACTGCTTTTTCTCTGAAAAAACAGTGTTGACTGCAAAAGTCTGAAGGTAATGATTATACTTACCAGACCAAATACAATAAGCTGCAGTTGTGCCGGTGTCTTTAGTGTCCCTTTTACTAGTTACTCTGTGGGGGTATGGAGTGCGATTTAGTTTACTGTCAGACCAATAAATTTGTAATTTAAGGACATTGTGACTTGGGTGATTTTGTTTTTATAGAAAGAAAGCAAAGGAACTGTTGTTTTAAAAGTGTCTCCAACACAGAATTGCCGCAAAACCCCTCTGCAGGTAAGTTGCAAATCACTTTATTTTTGTATTAACATAATCACTGATTTAATTATTAATCATCTGTATATTCAATATAAGTTTTCAATTATTTTTTTGAAGTAGTGGAGACTGGGTAAAAGTCTAACAGAGATGGGCATTCCATAGGAATGGGGCAGCCCTAGAGAAGTCCTTAAGATAGGAGTACGAACAGAGGTTAGATGTAGGTCTTTGACAGAACGCAGGGGCCTAGACGGGGACATATTTGTGTATTAGTGAGGAAAAGGAGGCCGGAGCAGCATTGTGCAGAGATTTGTAAGCAAGTCCCTCTTATATTAAGCCCTATATTTACTGGGAAGCCACTGTAGGGACTGACAGAGTGGGTAGGCATGGGAGGTGCAGGCAGACAGGAAGAGGAGTCTCGCTGCCGCATTCATTATAGACTGTAGCGGGGCAAGTTGGGAACACTTAAGACCACTGAGAAGTGGATTACAGTAGTCAAGGCGAGAGAAGACAGTGGCATGGACAAGCACCTTAGGGGCAGAGGCACTATGTTTTTGAGGTAAAAGCGGCAGTATTTGGCTTTTGATTGGGCATGCGGGTGTGTGAAGGAGAGGTTGGAGTCCAAGAACACCTAGGCAGGAAGAATTCGAGGTACGGTTGATGGTAGAGCCATTGACTTGGAGGGAAACAGACAAGGGAGTAGCCACACTTGAGGGAGGGAAGACCAGAAATTCAGGACCAATATTCAGTTTGCTTGTTTTGTACTTAAAGGAACACACATGTATTCCTGACACTATAGTCTTGTAGTGGATGTATGAGTGACCGGCCCCTTCCAGTCCTTTTCTCCTAGGTTGCGCTTGTCTGATCCTGGCTGGACATGCCTGGCTCTGCATTCATGGCTGAGATCATCAATCTTGATCATCTCAGCCAATCCAATGCTTTCCCATAGGCAACAACATTCTGTGCTGCGCCAATAAGCATTTCCTCATAGAGATGCATTAAATTAATGCATCTCTATTGGGAATGTTCAGTGGCTCTGAAAAGGCCGCAATTACATGGGAAAGGCCTACAGGGACAGGATTTATTTATTTATTTTTGGGGCACAGAGAGCTTTAATTTGATGTGACGTGTTTGCATTTTTTTCTCACAATAATTAAGAATTTATAAACCGCCCAAATTTTTTCAGTTTTTGCAATAATAATGTGTGATTAGTGCAGATTAAGAAAAGTAAATAAAAATTAAGTTTTTAGTCCTGATTTACACAGTTGCATGGAGGGATCGACCGATATTGTTTTTTATAGCCGATACTGATAATCTGTGAATTTGCAGGCCGATAGTCGATAACTTGCCGATATTCTGTATTTACCATTTTGAAAAAATAAACTATTTCTAAAGATAAATGCACAAAATATACATGCCACATGTAGTGGATGCTGTGTGTATTTGTGTAGTGTGTATAGTGAATGTAGTGTGTGTGTGTGTGTGTGTGTATAGTGAGCGTATAGTGAATGCAGTGTTTGTGTTGTCTGTGCATATAATGAATGCAGAGTGTGTGTTTGTGTAGTGTGTGTATATAATGCAGTGTGTGTGTGTATAATGCAGAGTGCATTATACACACACTCTGCATTATATACACACACACACACACACACTCTGCATTATATACACACACTATACAAACACACACACACTCTGCATTCATTATATGCACACACTACACACTCTGTATTGTATACACACACACACACACAAACTGCATTATATACACACACTACACAAACACACACATAGTGTGTGTGTGTATAAAATGCGCTCACACGGCTTTGTGGGGGGTGATGACGTGACACGTGATTGCGCACGCTCCGGCGGTCGAGAGGCTCTGGTGTGAGGAGGAGATACGGCGTCCGGCAAATAAGAACAGCTGAGTGCTGAGAGCTAATGCTGCTGAATGAAGACACAAGCGGTTCGCTGTTTGTTGCTCTCTGGCTAATGAATGTGGAACTGCTCAAGGTATAACAGGGGAGCCTGTAAACTATATACACTTGCTGTACATTTGTACATCTGCCGTACATGTTCCTGAGGCTATAAGGACCCTGGACTGTTGGGGATATATATTGCTTTGCTTTAACGCTTAATTTTTGAGCCGAATATCAGCTGTGGGGATTGAAGACTGCTGAAATTTGGAGTTAAACGTTGCAGCGTCCAGTACATAAGAACAGCTGAGTGTTGAGAGTTAATGCTGCTGAATGATGAAGACACAAGCGGTATGCTGTTGTTGTTTGCTGTTTTCTGGCTATTAAATGCCGAACTGCTCAAGGTATAATAGGGAGTTTGTAAGCTATATATATTTGCTTTATATCTGCTGTATATGTTCCTGAGGCTATAAGGACTTGGACTGCTGGGGACATATATTGCTCTATTGCTTAAATGCTGTATTGGAGTTCTGAACTTTTGAGACGATTATCAGCTGTGGGGATTGAAGACTGCCGAAACTTGGAGTTAAAACACAGCAGGAGAGCGAGCTGGTGGGAGGCAATGGCTTGCAACTAATTAGCAATATCTTTGTTTACTATACCATGAACTCTAACATTTTTTTCTGCCATGAGAGAGATACAATTGTAACTGTTCTTCACTAGTGAGAGAGAATGAACAAATTGTTGTGAGAGAGTTGCAATTGCAACTGTTTCAAGGGTGAGACAGATTGACAGATATAAACCGTTTTTTTTTTTTTTTTTCCTCTTGAAGATACCTACATTTAAATAAGGCTCCATCTATTGGAGGGGTCTGTTTTTGTGATCGTGATTAAGTACTTTTTAGTCAATACTACTCTCAGTACTCTCAATACTCTTAGTACTAGACAGAGGTGTTGCCTTAAAGGAGAATAGAAGGGCAAGGAAAGCATGTCTCCCAAAAGAGATAAGGATAAAGATAAAGCAACAACGGCTAATATGGATAAAAATAAAAATATAAATTCCTTCTATTCACCTAAATCTCAAGAGCGATCACTAATTAAAAGATCATCTCTGGGAGATCGCAGAGAATCAGCCTCACTAATTCCAGAATCCTTTTCGGCAACTCCCCAATATACCAGCCAACAAACTGTTAATGAAGCTTTGGAAGCTCTATATCTGAATTTAAAACAAGATCTGGAAGATAATTCCAATATATTAAGGCTGGAAATAGCTAATATATCCTCTATACTGCAAAATCAGGCAGACACTCTTCAGAAAATCCAAACATCTAACGAAGACTTAACCTTAAAATACAATCAATTGGACGAGAAGATTAAAGCATTAGGAAGATAGATCTCGAAGGAACAATATAAAATTGAGAGGAGTTCCTGAATCTATTAATTATGATCAACTAGACCAAATTTTAAAATCCTTCTTCCAAAACCTAATGCCTGAATTGTCACTTGGAGAATTCCCATTTGAGCGATACCATAGGCTACACAGACCAAAGAAGTTGTCGGCAGACATACCTAGGGACATTATTGTTTGTTTCTCTAACAACTATATTAAAAATTTAATTATGCAGTCGATACAAAAAAATGTTATAACAGATCCTCAATTTAAAGATATTAAGTTATATTCAGATCTATCTTTGACGACCAGGTTGGCAAGGAAAAAATTTGCCGTCCAGACTAGCATTCTGAGGAAGTAGTTTCCCTACAGCATTATTGGTATCCTTTCAAAATCAACAATTTCTTCTTAAAGAAGCCTCGGCGGCCCAAGAAAAAATCCAATTTTGGAACTTACAGTAGTTATCTCCTTGAGTTGACCAAATTAATGACCACCTTTTTGGAATAAGACAATGATTAATTACTACCACTATAAAAAATTATTTTATTTATTTTCTTTTCTTCTCTCTCCTTTTTATATAATAATTAATTGTGAAGACAGACTAGATCAGTGAATGCCCAAGCCCCATGGGCAGAGTTATGTCTAAAGTTAAGAATGTTCATTTATGGATAAGGGCATCTGGTAACATTTGTAATTCAAAAAAAAAAAAAGATCTATACTGTTTTCATATAAGGGGTTTGACACAAATTATGGTCTAAGGTAATGTTAACCTGGTATAATGTTGGGAGTTATATAATTATGCCATAATATATAGTTATTACATACTTTCTTCTGTTAAGATGCCTTTCCTCCCTCACTCTCCTCTGTTTTGATATAATTATCTATATAGGAGATTGGAAATTCTTTATGCTATATCTCTGATGGGTAATTGAAGGCGGCATATTGGATAAATATAAGAATGGTATAAAGCACATATGTAATTTATAGAGGGTTTTTTTGTTTTGTTTTTTTTTCACATATTTTGTATTAACACTGCTTGTAATACAATTGGTACAGCGAGATATTATTAGTACACTTCTCCAATTATGGAGTTTGACAGTAAGGAATTTTAGAGATTCTACATTCGTATTTTGTAGTAACATAAGCTTTGGTCACAATAATTACGATTCGATATTATTCAGCACTAATAAGAATGGAAGTAAGTTATTTATACACGAGTGGTAGTATAATTTCATAGTATGGGTCTATTCACTTATGATATAACTGTGGTTATTTGTGGGTTTTAAAGGGGTAAAGGAGGTGAAGCGATTTGGTAATAGTAAGATAATATATGAGGTAACGCCGATTTAGATCACAATAGATAGGGGGAGTCGGACCGTGTGTGTGTGTGTGTGTGTGTGTGTGTGTATATATATATATATATAATCAAGGGAATATGTAGATAGAATGGCTAAGGGAGGGGAAAGGAGAGGGAGGACTTGTACTATCAAATTTAAGAGCTGGAGAGATATGTTGAACAGAACTAGAATAGCAATTTATTGTAATATGGTTTTTTAAACCAACGCGATCCTATATCCTAGACAAACTAACTGATCTATTGAAGGCTATAGTATTAAATAAAGGTCGGATTTTTGGAATACTGTTTGGTCTCTGAGGTCTGGAAAAATTATTATTTTTTTCTCATTAGTGTTTTTATTTCTGCAATTATAGGTAGGTCCGTTCAGGTAGATATAAGTTCACAGGTCTCCTTATTTTGCTTCTTTCCTGGGATACGTTCCATATTTCATATTATATCTTGGAATTATAATGACTGAGGGAAGGGAGAGGAGAGGGAGATTAGTACTATTATAATGGATAGCTGCAAAATACATCAAGTAGTGTCAGATTAGTAATTTATTGGGTTATGGCTTTAGGAGCTAGTGTGGTCATATATTCTAGTCAAAGTTGACAGCATTGTGGATTGCCATTTGACCGATTTTGGGCTAGATATTTGGAATGCCATTTGGTTTCTGAAGAGTTTGGAGGCCTTCCTCCTCTCGCTAGGGTCTCTATTCCTGCAATTATAGGCAGGTCTTGTTCAGGGGGCTTCATATATATATGTATGTATGTGTGTGTGTATGTATATATATATATATATACATATATGTGTGTGTGTATATACGTCTCCCCACTGGATTACCAAGAGGCGGTTTGTTTCCCCTCTTGAATTATTTTTTGTTTTATGTACTTTATAATGTAAATGTGTATTCTTTTTTTTGTTTCTGTTTTTTCTTTTTTACTTTTCTGAGACTCGATTTGGGGTGTAATCAGGACAATAGGTGTTATGATGGCACTTAATGTGATATCATGGAATGTCCAGGGTTTGAATTCACCACAGAAAAGGGGAGCGGTCTATAAATTTCTAAATGGAAATGATATTGATATTGCTTTTATTCAGGAGACACACTGGATTAATCCCCCAGAGAGACTCTGGAAGTTTAAGAAATTCCCGTTGATATTTTCTTCCAATATGGAGGGGAATAAAAAAAAAAAGAGGCACTGCTATCATAATCTCTAGCAGAATTAATTTTGAAATGATACATCTAACTGGGGATCCAATGGGAAGATATGTGATACTCATCGCAAAAATTAATGGTATTATATATACTTTGGTTAATATTTATGCACCAAATTCGTGCCCAGGGGACTTTTTGGATAAAACTATGGAAAAGGTTGATGAATTAGCATGTGGTAACATCATAATTGGGGGAGACTTAAATTGTGTATTGGACCCAGCACAGGATAAAAGCCATAAAAATGTTAGAGATTATAAATCTGTAAATACCTATGTTTCTGATTTTTCTAAATTTCTAGATAGGAATTCTCTATTTGACTGTTGGAGGACTTTGAATCCTAGTGAGAGAGATTATACTTTTTTTTCACATATCCATCAGACCTATTCTCGAAAAGATATGTTTCTGGTGAAAGCTGGGTTTTTAAGTTCTATTATTAAATCCAATATTGGATCCATAGTTGTATCAGATCATGCACCAGTATTCATTAAGGTTAAGTTAAAAGGTGGTCTTAGACCAAGGACAAGGTAGAGACTTAACGAAAGCCTCCTGAAATCAGAGTGCAACATTGATTTTTTGTCATCTGAAATTGAAAACCTTTTGATTACTAATGATAATGGGGAAGTTTCTACGGCAATGGTATGGTGTACCCTTAAAAGTTATATAAGGGGATTATTGATTAAACTTGGCTCTGAATCTAAAAGGAAGAAGGGAGAATCTCTGCAAGAGTTAAGAATAAAATTGGCAAATAAGGAACGTCTAAATAAAAATATGGTGAATAAAGACTTAATTGAAGAA